AACGTTACGCCACTATGTAGAACATATTGTGTAACATTTTGTGTCAATCATCCAATTAAAATAAAGCCCGCTATGTTCTTCGCCATGGCTAGGGTACTCACCCTCATGTGATCTACGTAGCGGATTTTACTAATTCACAGTGTTAAATGGAAATCTAATGATCCGTGCATAATTAATCAACCTCCGGAAATTGTTTATTGAAAATCTTTTTATTCATTAAGAGTGACATAATACCGAATTTTTTAAAATCAAAAAAAATTTTTTTCACAATTTACGATGTTATTTCACTTCCGTTTATAAGATCGATTTGTTAATATTAAATATCAATAACTGAAAAATCCACGCCTTTTTTTTTTTATTTTTAATATTATATAATTATTATTTTTACTTATAGATCTAAAAGAAATTCGACCATTTACTATTTCCGAAATACGGCAGCATGTACCCTAAAGATTTGCTTTCAGTATCCTACTGTCTACAAAGCCATCTCCGACGTTACTCGCAGGACCCTTTCAAGCTGCAGGAGATGAATTTGAACTTTTGACACAAATACAGATCAAGAATGTCCTTGATAAAGACGTGATATAATAATTAAGTTTATCAGAAATAAATAATATCTATAGTATTTAGTTGGATTAACCTTCATTGCACTCTAGACTCTTTATATATATATATAAATCTACTCTTAATTATCGTAATAATGCCATTACTTCAATTTTACTTCAGGAATTAAAAAATTCATTCACCCAACGGCCCCAAATTTAATAAAATTTTGGACATTTGAGTACCAAACTTTGTAAATTGGAAATTGTTATTGGCATTAAAATCGGGAAAAGGGTAGTGAAGTTTCGGATTGTATTAACGGTAATTGTTACTTTGAATTTTATCATCGGTATTAAGTTTCACGTGATTGGTCCAATGTCTTTGCAATTCAAGAATAATTATTCATCGCCTTGCAAGCATCATGTTACTATGAGTACGTGATGGGTTTTCTAATGTGATTCTATTAGTTTATGCTAAGCTAGAAAAAACACCAACATTGCGTACATAAGGCTACTTATTTTCCTATTCGATTAAATTACTAATACTCATGATATCTTTCTTATGTGGTAAAATCAAAGTGTCTTCTGCTTTATCTTCATTATGTTCCTGAATGGTATTTGTTGCTACGCCTATGTCTTTTGTTGAATTAACGCCATTAAAAGAGTCTACGTTGCGAGAATAGCTTGAAGAATACGATGTATTTGTTGAATATATGTCAGTAGGACCATATGATAATGACGTAGCAGGAATTGTATTAGGCGAGGATCTGTATGATGTATTAGCTGGAAGTGATGCCGAAACACTGCTCGACGTAGGTCTATAGTCAGTCATGTACATGTTAGAACCACCAGCATATCTGTAATTTATTGTTGTCGCGGGTTGTATGTTTGCTGAAGGTAGAATGAAATTAGATGTTTGTATATATGATAATAATTGTGAATTTGGCGCTGGAGTGGTGCCGACCGCCGAAGGAGTTGGTAAAATTTGACTAGTATCTAATGGAGTAATAAGAATATAATTCATATTTTTGTTAAACATTATCTTAACAAAGCAGTTTTTTTTGATTGACACCGATTGGCCTAAATTATACCCTAATCCTTCCCAAACTCTTACCCTAACCTTAACCTAACTTAGGCCGATCGACATTTGAGTCAAGCGTTAGTCTGAGGCACGGCATATATATATATGATTTACCTTTTTTTCTTCTCTTTGTTGCTCTCTCGGTACCATCTCTTTTCGTGGATTTTTTTGTCGTTTTCATGTTGTTTCCGATATTTTTGCCTTCATATTCAATATTATTATTAGAAGATTTTTTCGTGTTCTTAACAGGTCTCTTTCGTTCTTTTATTGGTAAAGCCGAAATTTCTTGATTTTCCTGTTTATGCCTAGGACGTTTAGCACTAGTCGGGTCAATATTCATTTCCTGCACAGTTTGATCTAATCGCAGAACGTTCTCGGTTGGTTGAATTGAGGGAATTATATCATTGGAATCAATTTTAACAACATCAATAATCTCATCATGTTCATTATTACTTGCAGGCGTGTTCGATTGTATCGCCTGACTCTGCAAACATCTCGCGCAAACATATTCAATTTGTGAAAAATCTCTCGTTTTACGGAATCTCTCATCGGTCTTTAAAAGACAATCGATATGCTGCCACACCGCACATCGGTCACATGCAATCATATTACTGCCATCATTCTATAAAACAGGCAACAGTTAAAAATTTTATCATTATTTACTATAATTTACTACAATTTAAACATTTAAATGCTTACAATGTTTGTGCCAGAAACACCACATAAACAATCGAAATACCAATCTTCCGGTTGTTGATTTTTAGCTTGAAACGTCGTGTCCGGTGGTGTTGGATGATCTTGTATGTCATTAATTCGTTTGGTTTTTACGGCACGCTGTTGTTCAATCATCAAATCCTGTTCTTTTTTTAATTTATCATCCCTAGCTTGCAACCGTAGCTCTCTTTCTTTTGAACGGCGCTCACGTGCTTGACTTCTTGCTTCTCTATCCTACAATATGTAAATACATTGACAATGAAGTGAATAGCCCTTTGAATAATAAATAAATGAGCAATTATATATTTAACCTTCTCAGCTTTAAGTCTTGCAAATTCTAGTTGCCTAGCTTTTTCCTCCTGCTCATCTTGATCTTTTTTAATTTGAGCAGCACGATCAGCTTCTTGTTTTTCGAGTTCTCGTTTCTGAATTCTTGAACTACGCTTCCTGTTAGCCAGGGCATCGAGTTTCTTCCGTTCTTTCTCCTTCTCCTACATTCATAAGACTTGTTAATTTCTCAGTTAGGAACAAAGTAGACACATAAAATTACTTACCTGCAAGGCAGCCAAGATCTTCGGCAAAAGGTCTTCAGTCAACAGCTTATAAAATTCTTTCTCCCGCACATTTCTTGATTTTTCGAATCGCTTTGGAAATTCTTCCCACTCAGCAATTGTGACGCAAACCTATTAATTTAAAAATGTTACAACATAATAATGTCCATATTTAATGAATTATAAAAGGGAAAATTCTTACAGTTTCCCAATTTGTTGATTCGGTAGTGTTCTCGTTTACTTCAGGGGAAACATGTTTCGCACGACTACGTCGAGTATTTTTAATTTTGCTTTTTTGTTTTTTTGGCACTTCCTTTTTTGGTGATTCTTTGCAAAGCCGATTATCTATAACAATAAAAATAAATTGTATGCGTTCAGAAAAACGTAAAATCTTAATAAGTAATCAAAACTTACCATCAAAAAGCCAGTAAGTGTTGCCCTTTGAGTCAAATCCAACCGGAGTGACTCGCTGTTGTAAGCAAAATTTATTATCATTAAAGATGGAGATTTAAAATCCAACAAGAGTTTGTATAATCATAATAATGATTGATTCTATACCCATTCTTGCGGATTTTCCTGATTTGACAAGAAGTTTCTAAATTTGTCAGGATTCCGCATCTGCCAGTGGCAAAGATCATGTAAAATCAAGACCTTTATATACGAATAATGTTAGCATTAATGAGCAATAACTTAAGTCACATGAGGTCATAGCATACCTTCTGTTTTACAGAAATATCCTCAAATTTTATAGGACACACTTCATCGCCGAATGGGCTCTTTTCAGGCGCATATTTCTGATATTGTTGACAGAGATGTTGTTCCCAGTTGTCCTGACTATTTAGCGTTCAGCAAGAATAAAATCAAAAAAGAGAAAATTCAAAAATAAAATAACAATAAAGATTTAAAATATCAATTGAATGGATATTTACGAGATGTTTTTATTGAGTGATAGTGTTCGTAGCATCTTCGTAATTAAGTCCCCAATTTGGAGATTATCATCGGTGGCTAAACTCCGCTCCAACTCCTAAAGGATATTACCATAACTATTAATTATTAATCTACAAATGATCAGTAACAGAAGGAATTTTAAAACGAGCATACGTCAGTGTCAAATGAATCCAATCCAAATGCATCATAATAGGTATGCATGAATTGGGATACATTTGCAAACTCCCATAAACCGCGTATGTGGAGTATTACTTGTTGATAGTCCGGGTCGTAGTCGGAATATGTGGTTGTCGACATTGGACTAGAATTTTAAGGTCGTATGAGAAAAAACAACGCGTAAACCTTGAATCGTTCTTCATTTTAAATCATATCTATAACATACCTATATATAGTGTGACTTGTCAGTGAATGATAAAAGTTGGTGATTCTGAAAGAATAAAAATATATGGATTTTAGTCCAAAATTCTTATGTGCTCTTGGAAAAGTGCGCAAGATACTACTATAACCGGAAAGAAGTCTAGTGTGTATATAAAGCATAATATTATATTTGTGTAAATATTACTAGAAAAAATTTTTCCACTAATTATGAAAAAAATTGAATTTTGTAACTTTCAAAAGGAATTTTTATAAATAAAAACATGGTGCGCTACAGTCAAAGTCACTAATGTATCGTGAAAGATAAGTTGGTAATCTGACAAATATACGAGTGAGAGTTCGGTATATTGGAGGCCCTATTAGCCTTTAATTACTCTACGAAAAGATACTCGCAAGCCAACAGAATTTGAACAGAAAGGGTCTTTTTGACCTTTTCAAAAAGATACGGAGAAAAAGGAACGATGCTTCTCTTTATTTTTTAATTAAGGACCCTTCATGGCTAAAAACTTATGCTATTTATAATAAAAATAACAGTGATTATTTTAGCATTGATATCGATTGATTACCTTACTAACACGGTAAATCTGTAGGCGACTTCGAGATAGTTGGCGAAGTCGTTAATATTAGAAGGATGTGGAGTGTTTGTAATGTAATGACGTATTTATATAAATGAACTTAATTGGACGCCGATCTGGTATAAATCTGTTGCAAAAGGAATTCTCAATCAGAAATCGGTGTTACATTACAATCACTGATCAGCGTGTTGATTTTAAGAAAATTATAAAAAGGCACGATTTAGTAACGTTAAGATTTAATATAATTTTGTGCATATATCTTTTCCGTTAACAAATGGCTGGGATTCTAGAAAAACCCAACAGAGTTATAGAGAATCAAAAGTATTTTCAAGTACGTTACTTGACTTAATGAAAGGAATGCATTAATACTACGTTTAATATTATACGTAAACTTGTAGGCTCACGTTAATCAACCCCTTTGGCTTCGCGGAAGTCCTGCCAGAAGGGCTTTTGTATCCTTATACTTTGGTATGGTTGGAATTGGTTTGACAGGCTCTGTATTTTTGATGTTCACCAAATTGATTCCGGTATTTTATTTAGTAATTTGATATTGTATGAATTGTCATTAAGATGTTTTATTAAAATGTTTCTTTTTTAGGGCAAAAAGTAATGGAGTTTTCTTCAATGAATACCCGGTGTGAAGCATATTAAAGAGAATGTATTCATCGTATTAGAAAAATTTTATCAAAAATAAAATTTCTAGTGTTTCTATAATCAGAGATATATTATATCTTATTTTCTTCGTTTAAACTTCATTATACATGCTACATATTCTAAAGGAATAATAGTAATACTAGCTCTTAGACCCGGGCGATGCTCCGGGGCTAGGTCTTAAGTGTTTTTAATCTCAAATTCAATAGTTTTTTAA